CAGTCTTTTCACTCTCACAAATAACCTCAGCCATCAACCGCTTTCTTGTTCTTAGTAGCGCCTTTGTAGTTTTAGCCCATGTCTCAGAGTACATTTATATCACTTCTGTTTGTACTTACACTCCTTTTACTCTCGATTCTGAATTAGCACCTTAATATATAAGCACACCACTTAACTCTGGATCTTATCTACAGCTGCTGAAAAACAATCAGCAAATATATAAACTGTTATTACTAAAAACTCAAACTAATTTGAAGGTAACATCATTTTTCTTATTTCTTACTCTTAGATCAATTTATCTAGAAGCTGACATAGGAAAAAAACCACTCTTATATTACAATCCCTCTTTTCTCTACCACTTCCTCCAACACCTACATTTATTTTCGCGTGTGCGCGTGTGTGTATGTGTGTGTGTGTGTGTTTCTTTCTCTGTTGTTCCCTCCAATCCTAAGAGATTTGTTTTCTATTCCTGGTTGGTCTCTAACCTAAGCTCTGCATTTTCAAAAACAATCCAACTAGCTGCCTTCCTCTTACCTTCTTTCTTGTACTTTAAATATCTGATGCCCTGCATCAGCCTCTTATACCTCACAGGGACTTCGCTTTGTTAGTTGACAATTAGTAAAAATAAGAACAACAAAAACCTTACAAAAAAAAAAAAAAAACCAATTTGATATAATACGAAAGTAATACATGCTTCCTGAAATAAATAAGCAAACAGAACTTGAAGAGAGGCAGAGGCTACTTTTAAATTTAAGACGATCCAGAAATTCCTTGAGGAGGTGGCATCTGAAGAGAGATCTAAAATCAGTAAGGAAGGAAACCACCTTAGGAATAGCAAATGTAAAGGCCCTAAGGAAAGAATATGATTTGAAAAGCTTCAGAAAACGTATGGTAGGAAGACTGTTAGGGAATATAGTGGCAAGAGAAAAAGTATCTTTTGGGGGCTAAATGTGTCTCTGTACTGACAGGCAACAGCGGGGGCTTTTGAATTTTGAATTTATAGAAATAATTGCAAACTTTTGAGGTGGAGTATAATATAAATGCAATTTAAACAATCTTTTTCAAAGGATCATTCAGACTGTTGTACAAGGAACTGAATATAGGACAGCAATTATTCTACCTCTCTCATTCAATCTCTGTCTCTCTTCATTGATCTTACCCTAAAAAGCAAAAACCAAAACTACTTCTCTAGCCTTCACAAACTTTTGCATCATGTAGTTTTATGTCTTTTCCTTTCATTTTCCAGTTCTCAGTTTACTATGTTCCCCTCTCCACTAACAGCCCCATTTCAATAACCTCTCTATATAGCCAAACACAATGCCACCTTCTGATGTTCTCTTACCAGGTCTCTTGGCTTCCTAGTTGTTACTAACTACTGTACCCTTCCTGAGACCCCTTTCCAGTAGCTTCTATTACATTGTTCTTAAGTCTCTTTAATGGGCTCCGTTTTATGTTTCCCCTTTAAAATCCTGGTGTTTAATGCATCCCTGTGTCTCTGAAATTGTTTAAACTACATCCTAATTGTCAAGTCTTGCTTCTCTCCCTTTCACTCTAACCTACTTCTGTTCTTTAAATATTCCTTCAAGCTATACATTCTAACTGAGAAATGCCTTTTAAAACTACACAATCTCCTTCTAGCTATAGCCTCTGTCTTAGTCACTGCTATATTACTATGAAGCAACACTATGATCAAGGCAACTATTATAAGAGAAAGCACTTAACAAGGGGCTTGCTTACAGTTTGAGAGGGTTAATCCATTATCATCACTGCATGAAGCATGGCAGCACGCAGGCAGGTACTGGAGCAGTAGCTGAGAACTATATTCTGATCTACAAGCGGAGAGAAAGAGAGAGAAGCAGGGGAGAGAGAAAGAAGGAGTGAGGGAGAGAGAGACTGACTCACTGACTCTGGGCTTGGCATGGGCTTTTGAGACCTCAAGCTACCCCTACACACTTCCTCCAACAAGGCTACCCCCTTAATTCTTCTAATACTTTCAAATAGTGCCACTTCCTGGTGACTATGCCTTCAAATATATGAGCTTGTGGGGACCATTCTTATTCAAACCACCACAGTCTCCAACACAGAACTCCTTGTAGGCCTACCCATCAGTGGTTCAACCATATGTTCCACAGGTCTAAACCTAAGCATCAGAACTAAATTACACACCTCATTTTCCAATAACCAAACTCTACTTTCTTTATCATCCTTGATTTTAGTATCAGCATTAAACTAGACATTCTAGGGTCAATAAGTGACCCACATTCGGTGCCACCTGCTTTCCATTTTATCTCCTAAACAAATTTTAGATTGCTAGTGGTGCACATCTTTAATCCTGGCACTTGGGAGGCAGAGGCAGGAGGATCTTTGTGAGTTTTGAGGCTAGCCTGGTCTACAGAGTGAGTTCCAGGACAGCTAAGACTGCTGGCTGTTACACAGAGAAGCCCTGTCTCGAAAAACCAAATAAGTAAACTGAGAACTGGGAAATGAAGGAAAAAGACATTAAAAAAAAAAAAAAAAAAAAAAAAAAAGAAATTTTAGGTCTTTTTAAAATTCATCCATAACTGCTAATTCAGACCTTCGTTTTGAATTCTTAAAATGAGTACTATTCATTGCTAAACTAAGGTACAATAAATGTACATACTTACTATCCAATATTAGTAAGTGTTTAATATATTACACAGTTATTAATATGTGCATTAATGTACATTCTGGAATTTATAAAGCATGACTAGATAGATGACTGCCACATTTTATATAACTTGCACTTAGAATGTATTTAACATGTCTTCAGTATGTTTGCTGAGCTCTTTGTCAGTGTTAAGACTTTTCTAAAGCATTTAATTCTTCAGTAACTTTTGACTGAATAAAGATACAATACATACTACTTAGGCATATTCCTCATGATGAGGCTGTTATCTTTGCAGCTTCTTTTCCCATAATAGCTCATCATCTCATCATTCTTAATGGAGTCATAGGACCACCCTGTAGGACATGCAAGGTACCAAACACTCCCTCACTTCTGTTTTACATAGACACACAGATACAGATAGAAGAAATGTGTGTGACCCCTATCTCCTAGCTTACTATGCTCATCCTAATCTTAGCCCATATGTGAACTCATATTGTGCTGACCTGACTCAGAAAGGAAGAAATAGATGCCTCTTCTCTGGGCCACACACTACCTGCTTGATCTTTTTTGTAATAACCGAAAAGTCAGATAATAGCCAGTGAGCCTCTTCTGTTTTTTAAATTATATAAGAAATAAGCATTCTATTTATTACCCATTTGAACTTTTAAAAGTTCCTAAAGACAGTGTTTTATTTATTTTAGTATTCTCAAAACTTCATCATATTCTTCCATAGTTCTAAGATACCCTAGAACACAGATAGACCTGTTAAGTCTCTTAATGATCCTAATTGTAAAGTAGAAAGAATAAAATTTGGGTGTTTTTGTTTACTTTTTTGCTAATTTAAATATTTTTGAAGACCCCATCATAACATGCTCGCCTTCCTTCTAGCTATTTAAAATGAGGAGTCTAGAGTCTTTAGTTTACTCAATAACAGTATTCTTTAGCAAACTAAGAGAAGATTCACCAAGAATAAAAATGGCTTTTGTAGAATTCATGGAGGTATATATAGAAATGTTTAATAGTAGCTGACTACCTAGAAAGAAAGAAATTTTGTAAATGACAAACTGTATTTATTGAACGAACAAAGGACTTCATGGCTAGCATATTTCTTTATACTTCAAAATTTTACGGAATAACATTTTCTTCATATGAATCTGTGTGTGTGCATGTGGAGGCCTGAGATAGATGCTCAGAGTTTCTTCAATCACTTTCTACCTTATTCACTGAGGCAGGGTCTCTCCACTGAACCTAAGAGCTTGCCAATGTGTCTAGTCTGACTTTCAAGAGCTGGAATTATGGGCAGATCACTATGCTCACCTAATAGCTACATGGGTTCTGGGAATCAAATCTGGCCCTCACGCTTTCATGGCAAGTGCTTTAAACCACTGAGCCATCTCTCTAGCTCCTCAAGGAAAATTTTAAGCACAGGAATCAATATAAGATCCCTTATCTTTGACTGGCAGTGGAGGAATAAGTTAACATTCCTCCTAGTAGATCGTTTGGCTGTTATTTTCATAAAGGCCCACTTGCAAAATTGGTCCTCTTATATTTGGGAAAATGGATTTTAAAAACATTCCTATGTGGTTAAGACTGTAACTGCTGAGTCAGTCTATTTAGACAGCATAATAACATTTATGGTAGATCTAATTTCCTTGAGTTTGGACTTTTGGATGACACAGTGTATTATGAAGCCAGCTCTGAATTAAAAAATAACAACAAAACCCAAATAACTGTGAATCGCAGGTGGAATTTCTTATGCTTTACACACACGTGACAGAACTTGGGAAGCTGGAGGGAAAGTGCATGGTGGAAGACTGAACACAGATTCCTCTAGACCCTTTTACGTATCTTTTCTATGAATCCTCTGGTTATGGGCTTATGCCACATCACTGTAAAAAACAGTTAACTGTCATAAAGAATGGAAGATGATAAATTAATAACAAATTTAGTTCCAGGATATGTTAAAACTTAAGTCCTCCTGTTACCCAAATGACAATCTGAAAAAATGCAAAGAAACAATGCAAAACTGAAAAGCAGCGATAAAGATCTTTCAGTAATAAAATGACTTTATAGTTATTATTTTCAAATATAAAAGTAATAGTGACATTTAAAAGTTATATATGGAGAAACAATATTCTATCTTACTTAATCATAATCATTTTAAAATAAATCCATCAAACCAACCTCTCACATAAGACACAAAATGTTTTTAAAAGATAACAAATAAAAATCTCAATGTCCATTCATTAACTACACTCTTGTGTTTTAATAATTATAGTTCTCCAAATAGTTTCCAACAATCTAACATTCTCAGTTGTCACCCTCAATTTACCATAAAAAATAATCAATTCTTAAGTCCCAAACCACACACCTTTTGCTGTAGTTCTCTTACTGCTGAATCTCTGTCCATACACGCTTGTCGGAAGGCTTCGTATGCTCTATTGAGTTGCTCTCCAATGTTTTTGTCCATTCCTCCTTGTCCTGTAGCATCACTATAAAGGATGGTATGAATGCCAGCCCTGGAAAATAGCACAACTTAGATATTAAAGCTATACACATTTTTAAAATGTTTCCTAAAAAGAGTCCTATAAACATAACACTAGGTGATATCAAGGTTTATAAAAACAAGTTTTACCTGAAACATGACATAAAATATGAAACCTATGATGTAAAGTAAAATATTCTTTACTAATATTAGTTCCTAAATCATGGTCCAGTTCATAAAAATTCTGCTTTGGAAACAGGAACCTGTAAATATCATCTATAAATGGTACAAATGGAGAAATATAAAAGAGCATTTAATTATTAATACTTTAATATAAAAATGTACAACATGATTAGTAATGCGAGAAGGGACTTCTTTTTACTAAATGGATTGTTACTTCTACTTATAAGGTGAATTCTTGCTACACTGATTTAGAGCAAAACTAAATAGATAATAAATGTTTGTGGATGGAGTTCACACTGTTGTTATCACAGAGCAATTAAAATGTGTGAAAATGCTCTTATTTTAGAACGCAATCTAGGGAGCGCGGCTGTTGGATTGTACATTAAAAAAAGAAAGCTCACATCCCTTCAGTCTCAGCTCTACTACCTATTAGTTCCCTAACTTGCCTGCTGCTTCTGAACTACAGATGATTTTCTCTGAGGAGGTGATTTGGTTTTATCATCTCCGTTTGCCTAACAACTCTAATACAATCCTTGGCACTGAGAACAGAGCTCCTTAATGATTCTGACTTTTCCTGTGCAGTTATAAAAAATACAACCCAGAACCTTTCTTTCAGGATTTTCTAAAAGCCACATAATTCTCTATTGGTTTTAAGGATAGCCTGCTTTTTTTGGGGGAGGGGAATCTTTATAGTCTTGAAATGTTAAAACATTTATTTTATGCATGTCTATGTGCATGTGTTCACACACAGGTGTCACAACACAGCATATATGTATAGGTTAGTGGACAACTTGCAGGAGTCTGTTCTCTCTCTCTCTCTCTCTCTTTTTTTTTTTTTGCTATGTGGGTTCTGAGGATTGAATATTTAATCATTATTTAAATATAATTCATATAAAACAAAATCTAATATTTTCAAGTACATACCAGGGCATTTTACTATGTGGTACAACTGGTACAATTTTATGAATTTTTATCCTTGACAGAAATACTGGATCTATTAAAAGTTAACATCAATTCCCAACCACTCCCTCTCCTAGCAAATAATTGGTTTATTTGAATGTATTTGCCTCTTTATAACATTTTATATAAATGAAATGATAATGGATGGGGGTTAATCTAACATGTTCAAGATCCTAGCTTAGCCAATAATTATACAGATAGATAAATAAATGTAATATAAAACACAATATTTAATGTGTGCCTTTTTTCACATAAGATATTATTTCTGAGGTTCATCCATGTTATAGAATACAACAGCAAATTTGTTCTTTTATACAGCTGAATATATTCCAAATATTGTATATTCACTGAATGGATATAAAACATTTTATTTATCCATTCCTCAGTTGCTGGATAATCAGATTCTTTATACTTTTAGGCTACCATGAATAAAGCTACTACGAATATTTGTATATACATTAAAATTTTTAAAATTTATTATTTTATGCTTAAGTGTTTTTTCTGCATGTATGTCTGTATAACACATACATGCTCAGTGTTCAGAGGGCAGAAGAGGTCATCAAATTCCCTGGAGCTGGAATTACAGGTGGTTGTAAGCCAGAAGGTGGGTGCTGGGAATAGAACCTAGGTCCTCTGGAAGTGCAGTCAGTGCAGTGGTCTTAACTAAGGAGCAACCATTATGCTCCAGCCCCCTGTGGAGGGGAATTCTAGGTCAAATGACAATTCTAAGTTTAACTTTTTGGGGATTGCCAAATTGTTTCCATAATGGCTGTGCAATTTTACACTTCCGCTAACAATGCACAAAGGTCCCAATTTTTCTACATCCTCACAACACTTCTTATAGTCTATTTTAAAAAATGTAGTTTGTCATGACATCTGTGAACCACAACAATGACCACCATGGCAATAATGGCACTCATATGTTGGAATTAATGAACAATTGCCTAATTGGTATTAGAAACCTAACCAGCTTCCCTAGGTTAGTGAGGTCATGGATCTTAGAGGAGAACATCCTACCACCACTTTACTAGGCCAGCATAATTCCCAACTACATTCTAAATATTATCCTTATACTCACAGTTGAGTGTAGGACCCACCCTCATCAGGGAAGCTTCAGCAAATGGAGACCATCACAGAAAATCACAAGTGGACACAGAAATTAACAGACAATTGGGGATCACTGGTGGATATATGTACAGCACAACTCCTGAACCTAAGGCTCAAAGATCATCTTGAAAGACAGGACAGAAAGATGGTAAAAGCCAGATGAGTAGGAAGTCTGCTGTGAGACTGTGCCTCCTAGAAATAGCAGCCTAAACTAAGATCTGAACAACAACAGAATCAATAGACATGCTTATGCAGAAGGGGGAAAATCTCCCAGAGGTGGTGTGTGTGGGGTTTTCTGTACAACCCCTAGGCAAAGAGTTACATGCAATTAATGATTGCTGAGAAACTGGGGAGAGTCAATACACACATCTAGTCTGTGACAGACAAAAATATGGATACCATCAAGGTTCTTCAACTTGGTAAATCAATGAGTTCTACTGTGGTTACTTACAGGAATACGGGTGAGGGGTTACTTAAAGGCATAGAAATGACTCAATGACACCAAAGCCTATCCCAGCATGGATGATAACTCACAAAAGCTAGAAACCTGGTGCATACTGTATAGCCTATAGGAAGCTCACCAGGTTGGAAGGCGTCCCCTCCAGGTGGCTCAGCTGGTCTGTGAGAGAGCAAAGCAAACACCATGACAGGCTCCTAATAAGCAGTTTTTAAGAAAGCCACCAACAAAAACCAATCACTCAATAATGCCCCTGACAACAGGGATGAGGGGGACTGCAGTACTAAGCCTGAGAAAGTCGCCTGAAGTATCTCATGGCAATGACAAATAGGAACAGATCGTGGGAATTGTCCAAACATGCTCTCAGATGGAAGAATTGTAGCCCTAGCCATTCAGAAATGTACTAATATAACTGCCACTTGCTTAGGCCAATCATAGATAGGAGCCTGTGTGCACCACTCAGGGGCATCACCATTTTGTATAGGTAAATGGTACCAGATTGCTTGGCTGGTCCTGGCTTCTTCTAGGCGTTAAGACTTGTCAGAGTCTCTTTTGAAGCTTGGCTAGTCTAAAAGTGACTTAAGCAGGCTACTGTTTACACATTCTTGGAAGGAGAAGGATTCTGGTCAGTTTCAGGGACTTCCTGTATCTATTTTGAGTTGTTTACTCCTGGTCATAATGGAGCTTCTTTACAGGATGGAGTGTTTGACCTCCTCTTAGAAACCGTTTGTTTCATTTCCTTGTAAACAATCTGTCCTAAATAAACTGTTGCTTTATTTTCTTTTATAGCCTATGCCTTAACAAGTTTCCTTCCAAGATTAACCTCAGAGGTTAGAGCTCCATAAGTTATCCAATACTAAGTGGTCACATAAATAACAAAAATAGACTTAGTAGGTTGTATATTAATGCATGCATTATTATTGATATATATACATATATATATGTATATATATGAATAACAATCAAAGAAAAAGAAAATGAGGGATGGAACATTGGAAAGGAGGACATGGGAGGGATTGGAGGGAAGGAAAAGGGTTGGTGATATAACTATATTTTAATTAAAATATATTTTTTAAAATGGATGGCACATTAGCCTGGTTAAAAAATTATAGTTGTCCTATGGGGGTATGAAGCAGTATCGAATTGTAGTTTTGGTCTTCCTTTCCCTTGTGTTTAATGATAACAAACTTTCTTCCATGTGCTTTTTGGCCACTAATCTTTGGAAAGAATTTCCATTCAAATCCTTTGCCAATCTTCTACAAACCTTATTTTCCTTTATAAGCTAACACAGAACAGTGGAACAACCAACAAACAAAACATTCACTGTGTATAGCTTATGACCCTGGTGCTTTTATAGCATCCTGAGTTTTTCATATACATGAGGAGGAACACTGGGACTCTGCTCTGCTTTTGGGGTTTCCTGTTTGTGTTTCCTCTTCTCTTCTGGAGATGAACAAAGACTGCCTATGAGAGGAATGATCTCAGGCAAAAACTATCACTGATGAAAAAAAGCTCCATTCTTTTTAACTGTGTTCTTTGGCACATGGCATTTTTAACCTGAATGAATTTTAATGTACCTAATACATTTCTTCTATTGCTTGGAATTTCTTTTGGTGCTATATCTAAAGAACTGTTGCCTAATCAATAACTTGCACATTTTTTATTTGTATGTTTCCTTAGAAGTGTTTTTATAATTTTAGTGTTTATATTTGTTCTTTGATATATACATTAATTTTATATATGATATAAGATGGAGTTCACATTCAATTTTTATTGTGAGGATATATAGGTGTCCTGACATATTATTTATTGAATGAGTTATTCTTGTTGGGCATTGGTGGCACATGCCTTTAAACCTAGCACATGGGAGGCAAAAGCAGGAGAATCTCTGTGTTCAAGGTCAGCCTGATCTAATGTCATTGTGACATTATTGCATCATTAAGAGGAGTTGCTAAGTAAACTCCACAAGGGCACACACTACTCCTTGAAATAAGAATATATGCTGAGGCCGGGTGGGGCACGCCTTTAATCCCAGCACTCAGGAGGCAGAGGCAAGAGGGTCTCTGTGAGTTCAAGATCAGCCTGGTCTACAAGAACTAGTTCCAGGACACCTCCAGGACAAAAACCAAAATAAATAAATAAAAATAAATAAATAAATAAATAAATAAAAGGAATGTATGCTAAGGAATTAAGTTCTGGTTGATACAAATAAGTAAATGTTACATTTTATTCAACCAAGAAAGGAAATGTGTGTTAGATTAGTGACACGAACCAGAGGAAAAGGAAAGTCTCTGTGGGTAGTAACACATCAATTATATTTTAGTGTG